AAAAATTATAAAAATTAATATTCATTTTAACAACATTAACACGTAGATTATTTTAATTAATTAATTAATTCAAAATCAACACTTATTTTTCATACAAATTAATTTTAAAAAATTAATTAATTATACTTCTTAACTTATACCCTAAAATCATGTTAAAAAAACATTTTAGAAAATAATCCATCAAATTTTCTTCTAACTGCTTTTTGATTGACAACCTTTCTAATAGAAAAACTTAAAAAGAGAATCACATGCATTTGACTCCTCATTAGTTCTCTTTATTTGTTTCCTTTTTATTTTTTTAAATTAAAAAAGTACACTCAGGCCAATGAAGGCCCGAGTGCAACTAGTATTTTCTCTTCTTATGATAAACAAGTACAGGGACAACATTATGATTACAAGCATTCTATTTTAAGCCTGTTTGGCTTAAGTCTAATTAAATAAAAAAAAGAGGTCAAGAAAAACATTTTAAGAAATTGTGTTTTGATGTTGGTGGTTGAGAAGATCTCTAGATTCTTTACTGAGATCTGAGCCCAACTGTAGGAAAAATCAACTCACGGGCTTTAAGTCAGTAATAACTATATATGGCCCAGCCTTTAATTAGGAGGCTGAGTTTTGAACCTAGGTTGACCCAATACAATTGGGCTCAGCTAGCAGGAATCAAATTGTAACCAATTAACCAAATTATGAGGTTCAAACCTTCCACATACAAATTTGATTTGAGCCTCAATTAAGATACAGAGACTTGCCCACATATCATACAACTGATCTCCCAACTATGAGTTTCCACCCCCAGAGAAGGAAAACAAAAAATAATAATAATAACAGTGCAGAACTTAAAAATTTCATATACACCCCCCAGAGAAGTAAAATAATAATAATAATGCAAAACTTAAAAATTTCATTGCCGGTTAGCCACGCAAGGTTATCAGCGTGTCCTGGCTATAGCAGTGGTGCCAGAACCACCGTCCCTGGACTGACAAGGAGAGCAGTGGCGGCCTTGAAGATTTTGGTGTGACGCAATAGGTCTGGTCTCGCTTGGCTTTGTCTTCATGGCACTGATCGTTTGCAAGCTTTCGAGAACTTCCTCCATAGAGGGGCGATTTTTGGGTTCATTCTCAATGCATTTAAGAATCAGTTCAGCTACTTTTGTCCCAACTCTCGCTGGGACTTTATTTTGAAGCCTGGGATCCATTATTTTCTTTAGTCTTTTCTTCTGAGATAGACAAGGTTTAGCCCAAAGCACCAAGTTGTGCTGGCCGCTTGGACGACTGGTGTCAAGTGCCCTCATCCCTGTCAACAGCTCCAGCAAAACAATACCGAACCCATATACATCGCTTTTGATGTACAAATGCCCTGTAAATGTAAGGAACATTATATCAAAATGCCAACCAACAATAGTTATACAACATCAAATTTTGATTCATGTGAATTGAAGTAAAGAATTAACGATCATAATTTATGTCATCTAAATTAAATATGGAGTTAGTGTTTGTCCGTCTTATTTTCAAAAATTTTTTTAAAAAAAGATAAAAATTACCTTAATGTACGTTTTAAAAATAAAGTAATTTAGTCTTTTTCAATAAAAATTTATTGAAATGATATAGTTTTAAGATAATTTTTTTTCTAATATTTAAGAGGTAAGACTGATTAGGTACTATTTTCATTAAATATTGTTTATAAAGGGCCTAACGAAAATAAAATAAAATTTTAGGGACTAAATTTCATTCCCGACTAACAATTTTTTTGTTAGCCCGAAGCATTTATTATTTCCTATGAAAAAAATATACTACTATTAAATTATAAATCACTACTGGGTCTAATCTAGACCTAGTCTAGTTTAACTCAACACCTGCTTTGACCAATTCAACCCAAATCTTATATTCACTTTTACCCTTATTTGAACCGAAGACATATCGTTTTTCAGTTGAATTATTCAAACCAACCAGTTCTGTTTGGAGTATAAAACGTAATTTGGTGATAATCTCCATCTTTCGGAGATAAATAATAATAATAATAGTAATACTTAAATCATATTAATTATATTAAATCACATTTCTCTCTTAACTTGTCATTCATATAAAGATGTTTAGTATGAAAAAAAAAGAAATTACTACTTAATAATTTCAAACTAATCAAACATAAAAGTACTTAGATTATAAAGAACAATAACTAATAAGGAAGTCATAAATGCCCATGTTTTGGATGAATGTAATAGATATCCATACCTGTGGAAATGTACTCAGGAGCTGCATAGCCGTAAGTGCCCATGCACTGAGTTGTAACATGGGATTTGCCATTAATGGGGCCCATTTTTGCCAACCCAAAGTCTGAAAGTTTTGCATTATAGCTCTGATGAAAAAGGAAGTTGCATGGTATAAGAAAAACTAAGTAAGATACCATAAACAAACTTATTATGTTACTGATGTTTTGAGTCTAAAGGCATGCATTTACCTGATCTAGCAAAATGTTAGAGGCCTTAAAGTCTCTGTAAATCACACTTTTTTCCGAAGTGTGCAAGAAAGCCAGTCCTTGGGCTGCTCCCATGGCTATTTTAAGCCGAATCTCCCATGGAAGGGGTTCTACACCTCCTGCGATGTATGGTGGTTAATTAATTAATGATGTCGTCATGAACTCAGAATTCCATGTCTCCTAATTCCTAGTAGGAGGAAAAAGTGGAAGAAAAACCAAGGAAAGGGAATTTTTACTTCTAAAGAGGTGGCTTTCCAAGCTTCCTTTTTCCATGAACTCATATACAAGGAAGAATTGGTTTTCCTCCCTGGCCCTGCAATACCCCAACAACTTGACCAGGTTTGGATGGGAGAATTTTCCTAAGAAATTGATTTCTGCCTGTATCCAAATAAATCTTTTTCGTTAGTCCGCATTAGTCATTAATTAATGCAAGATTGTGTCTTAATTTTCAAATAAAGAAAGCTCAAATCCTTATTTCATAACAAAAAATCTAAATTTGATGAAAGTTTTATGTTCTTACTTTTTATTTTTACCAAAAATGGTAAAGACTTATTTAATAACAAAATCTATTTAAAAAACTAAGCTGATAACATTGTGAAAGTTTAGGGACCAAGGTATGACCTCTGCACAGAGTTTTAATTATCATGTGATGGCTTGGTCAACGAAGAGAAAACGCAATGGGAAATGGTCTTCTTGTGCGTAGAAAAAGTTGTATATTAATTGCAGGATAGTCAAAAAAATAGAAAAAAAA